ATTTACCACAAATATCATCTGAAAACATCATAAAAAGAACAATTATATAGACTGTAACAGTATTTCCTTAAGACCTTTTGATTTAACTCTATAAAGTTTAAGTTATGTTTTAGACACTAAGCATCAAATGTATCTCTTTTCATTTCTTTCCCTCTCTCTCTCTCTCTCTCTCTCTCTCTCTTTCTCTCTCTCTCTCTCTCTCTCTCTCCCTCTCTCTCTCTCCCCTTAAAATTGCTCTTAAGCGTAGCACATGACTCAGGCTTGGGGCGAATTACATTGAAAGTAATGCATTACCATTACCATTACTTCAACAATTTGGGCATTAAATTACCATTACCATTACACTTTTTTCTTAAAGTAATGCATTACATTACCATTACTTAAGTAAAGTAATACATTACCATTACATTACTTTTGGGGGTATTAAAAATAGAATTTTTACAATATTTTGCAATATTTTATTGTCATAAGTATGCATCCGTCCCCTTCAAAACTATACATGATAAATGATAACTCAAATTTGATTTCAAGTTTTTGTATATAATTACAACGTCACTAACTTACAATCACCGAAAGTTCAAAGTTCTGAATTGTCAGTTTTATAACACATGTAAAATATCCATTTTTGTGTAACTATTGAAGTCATGAAGTAATATAACTTTTTGGGCACTTTAACCACTGTTAACCCCTGCCTTAAATATCTTATGTATAATAAAGCATATAGGCTATTTCGATTAGTAACCTATAAAAAATGCATTGACAAACTTTTTGAAAAAGAAGACAGGGTGTACATTTTGATCTGTGAATCAGAGTGAAGCAGGGAATACCTACATGGCTTCTATTTTCTTTGGTACAATGACTTTTTCATGGTCAGTACAAGGTAAATCGATCAGCATAATTAATATTTTTATAAACACAGTCTGGAGAAAAGGACTGGTAATTTGGGGCACTTCTTCAAACAATGCATTGTTTTAGTTGTTACATAAACCAGAGACCTAGTGTGTTGTGATGACACTCTAGCTACTCAAAAGGAACCAATTATCAGTTTATAGTGTACATTAATAAGTGTATCTAATATGTGATCTTGTTAGAAAATCTTTAAAAACTATTTTATATAATTCTTATCTGAAATAAATTTGAAAACTTGATTGTAAGGTAGGTCTTCTTTCAACAGAATAAAAGGTGTATTTAAATAGATATAGAATTGTTATCTAAATAGGTAACTTAACATTTTTATTCAATAGCATCATTTGCCATAAGAGAATAAATAAATAAATAAATAAATAACCTTAATAAAAAATCCATCATCCAAGTCCATTTCAATTTCTTAAAATAGGTACTTGTCTTACAAAATAATGCTGTGCAATGCTATGTAATGCCAGCATTACACTGGATTTTATGAAGTAATGCATTACATTACCATTACATGTAATGCAAATTTTTGGGCATTACACATTACTAGCATTACTTTGAGATCATGTAATGCATTGCAATGCATTACCATTACAATTAGCATGTAATGCATTGCAATGCATTACCATTACAATTAGCATTACATGTACCCCAAGCTTGGTACATGTAATAGGCCTGTATTCTAAAGGACAATAAAAATATTAATAGTTTTTCAAACGGTTGTCATCGTAGTGCAGCAAAACATAAAAATAAAAAAAATATAGAATATACAGATGCGTCGATTGCTTGTATTGAGAACTACCTTTAAATCATTCAAATCATTTGCCATGCTAGCTGTCAATAGTTTTTACAAGCATCAATGACTATTTAAGACATCCAGCATTGAAAAGCACGAAAAAAAGCTACATTGAATTCTAACAGCCATAACTAAAAATATCAAGCTATATGAACCTCCATTGGCAAAAGATCTTTAAATGAAATATATAGAGATAACAAACAATATTACAGCTCAAAAGTCCAATTACGGTATAAATTTGTAGTAGAGTAAAAACGTATCTCTTAAAGATCATAAGTGGAACCATGTTCTATGGAGAATTGAATTACACAAATACAAATTAATTGCACATTTGAAGAAGCAATATCAGTTTGAAATGATTCAGATAGAAACATTCCTAAATGGTTGACTACGTACAAAAGTTCATTTTAGCAATGCTCAAATTGGCTGATTCTTTATAACTTATAATCATTATTCATCAGGGCTACTTTAGTACGTGTAGTAAATATAAGCAGTTAAAATATTGCAAATAACGAGATTTTTATGGTGCCTGGCTTTCTTGATTTTTCAGTTAGAAATAGAATTTTTTTACTCAATGATTGTGATTATTCAACTTTCTATATTATTTTGTTTAATACCTGCTGGCTTTATTTTGTCAATCATGTTTGGATGAGATTATTTTCATAAAATATAAATATAGAAGAAATTTGTATTTTGTATGAATGGAAATATAGCAGCTTTGCTTGAGTAATGCCCGGAGAAGTACACAAGAAAATGAAATTCTTGTTGCTTTCAAAACAAATGTGTGCCAACTTTCAAGTAAAACCTGTTATTAAAAAATTTAGCTGAAATGTCACAATATGTATTCTACTGATTGTGCTTATCCAATACAAACTACGGGATAGGAAATTTAAAAAATCAAACATATTTATTTTTAACTTTTTTGTCTCCATGAGCTTCATAATATTTGTGAATCAATTAAAAGAGGGATGAAAATATAGCATTCTTTACTTTAAATTTCCTATTTTTTATCATTGACGTTTGGTCTTTTTAAAGTGGATCTATTAACCTATATAAAAATTGGGAGTCATTGGATTTGTTCGAAAGAAAAAAAAATAGTTTCGATATTTCCAGGAATATTAGTCGCGACTGATTTACATACACAATCAACCTCTTCCCGACTTCAAAATGTAACTCTGATCTAACTGCATCAGTTACGACTTTTTTCAACATAATCAATTCGAAGTTTTTGAATTTTTCAAAAATACCTTTAGATTGATTTCAATTGGCGATGTTTCAGTTTCCTGAATTTTTATACAATTTGTGGAATAATTACTATTTGTCATCGAAACCTTTCCGTTTAAAACGAAATATTTGTTAAAAATGCCAAAAACATTCAATCCATATTCATGAACTAGATAAATCTAAGTTACGAAGCAAAATTTGTTTAATATTTACGCTCTAATATTTGCATCTAAATTTTAAGGAGTTATCTTTACCTTTTTTTTGACAATGGCTCCTTTGTTTTCTTCAAGAATTGTTAGAGTTGCAGTTACCGCTTCTTCATTAATGACAATAATGAACAATACACAGAAATCTCACAGACATAACAGAGATATTTAATCACTGAGTTTTAGTCTAGCTCCAAAAAGTTCAGTGCTATTTTATGATTATTGTTAAAAGTTCGCTTTGGTCCAATCTTTATTTAAAACCCAGAGCAAAACAATACAGCTATCTGATAAAAACTACATATGCCGTTCTTTACCAATGATTTTGTTGAATGCTGCCGTTATTTAGCCCTGAATTCAGAAAACAAGTTCTGAAATTTAAATCCTACGACTTGAATTTAAAATTTTATTTGGGGTTTCGGCGGTTCACATTTAAAGTAAAGAGTTTTGAATTATGATGCTTCACGTTTGCAGATTTCGTTACATGTAATAATATGAAGGCGTGGAGAGTCATTTCTTTAAGTTAAAGGCATTTCTTCTATACTCGAACTCACTTACAATGAACTTTCTTTATTTGAAAAATCAGTTATTTTGAGATGAATTCCCATAAGAAATTGGTATAGTCTCTTTGTAAAAAAAAAATACTTGGTAAAAACAAAATTGGTCGAATTAAGAATCTCTGTTGATTTGAAGTTATTTTGAGGTCCACTGAATACAAGGTGCTGTAACAGAGCAGAACACTTTACTTTTAAATCTTTAGTTTATTCAACAACAATAAACGGCTTTGGTATGTGTCTGGCTGGCGGGACAAGTAATTGCAATCAAAAATGAGTATAAACACCTAGATCTTCTGCGCAAGTGGATTGAATTGATTTAGAAAATACACCAATGAGGAATAAGATTTCAGAAGTGTTCGACAAAAGCCTTTACAAAATATAAGAATCATTCTCACTTAATTCAAATAATCGAATAAGAAATAAGTTTACAAATGTGAGTATGGTTTTCATTTAAATAAGTATATGAAATAAAATATATGTAATAACTTGGTGACAGCGTGCTAACATTATTTGTCAAACGAATAGCCACGCTTTAAAATCTAATAATTGTATAGCTAGTTTACACCCGGGACTTGAGTGTAGAGAAATAAACGGGGGATTGTATTAATAAGTATAATGAAATAATTGGGGGTATTGTATAGTTGACACCCGGGACATGAGTATAGAGAAATAATCGGGGGATTGTATCGTTAGTTCACACCCGGTGCGTGAGTATAAAGAAATAACCGAGGGATTGTACCGTTAGTTCACACCTGGGACATGAGTATAGAGAAATAACCGGGGGATTGTATCGCTAGTTTACACCCGGGACATGAGTATAGTGAAATAACCGGGGATTGTATCGTTAGTTGACACCCGGTACATGAGTATAGTGAAATAACCGGGGATTGTATCGTTAGTTGACACCCGGTACATGAGTATAGAGAAATAACCGGGGGATTGTATCGCTAGTTTACACCCGGGACATGAGTATAGTGAAATAACCGGGGATTGTATCGTTAGTTGACACCCGGTACATGAGTATAGAGAAATAATCGGGGGATTGTATCGTTAGTTCACACCCGGGACATGAGTATAGTGAAATAACCGGGGATTGTATCGTTAGTTGACACCCGGTACATGAGTATAGAGAAATAATCGGGGGATTGTATCGTTAGTTCACACCCGGGACATGAGTATAGTAAAATTACCGGGGGATTGTACCGTTAGTTCACACCTGGGACGTGAGTATAGAGAAATAATCGGGATATTTTATCGCTAGTTTACACCAGGGACATGAGTATAGAGAAATAATCGGGGGATTGTATCGCTAGTTTACACCCGGTGCGTGAGTATAGAGAAATAACCGGGGGATTGTATCGTTAGTTCACACCCGGGACATGAGTATAGTGAAATTACCGGGAGTTTGTATCGTTAGTTGACACCCGGTACATGAGTATAGAGAAATAATCGGGGGATTGTATCGTTAGTTCACACCCGGGACATGAGTATAGTGAAATAACCGGGGATTGTATCGTTAGTTGACACCCGGTACATGAGTATAGAGAAATAATCGGGGGATTGTATCGTTAGTTCACACCTGGTGCGTGAGTATAGAGAAATAATCGGGGGATTGTATCGTTAGTTGACACCCGGGACATGAGTATAGTGAAATAATCGGGGGATTGTACCGTTAGTTCACACCCGGGACATGAGAATAGAGAAATAACCGGAGGATTGCGTCGCTAGTTCACAGCTTGGACGCTTGTGTAGTGGTATAGTGGCTCAGCACTTATTAACATACTAACATGTATTGATGTCCTTAATGTTTTTAATAATGTTTACAGTTTGCACCTGTTTATGATTAATACTAATTAAGAAGTGTGTATCTGTATGCAACTTATTATTTATTCATATACCAGGTAGTTTATTTATTACTCTATTTATCCCACTATTTGATTATTAGCCCAGTACAGGTTGTAATGCAGGTTATGACTTTAAAGCCTTAAGCTTATGCGGGAAGCTTTATTTATAAAGGGAATTTCTAAATTACTACTAGGCCATGAAAAGATTAAAAAAGTGTTTTGAAATTCCAAATATATAAGAGGATATAGGAAAAATCTTCATATCATGGATAAACATATCTAAAAATGACTGCATACTTGCCTATCAATGTATATTCAAGCTTGCTAAAAATTTGGCTATTTTGAATCGAAATGGCAAATTGATGAGTTTGTTTTTTCGAAAAGAAGAAAATATACAATCCGACACAAAGTGGGTCCAAATTTTTTTTCAGGTTAGAATTCTAAATATGAGTTGCGTCAAGCGAAAAGGGACCTTCGTGACCAAATTTTCGAAAATCGGTTTTTCGCCGTTTCTTAAAGAGCTAGTTTTTCTGAACAATTTGGTACCAAACATTTTATTATATACCTTCTAAATTCTAATTAAAACTCCAAATGAAAACAATGCAATGCCAACAGGATAACGCTGTAAAACGTTGAATAACGTCACATAACGTCATTGATAATTGGAACGTGCAACGTGATAACTAAATCCCCCTTTTGTATTAGTTAGATTTTTTTTCTATACACGTCTTTTAAAGTTTTTTTTTTAAATATATTTCTCCAAATTTTAGTATTTTTATGATCGTATAAATTGTAAAAATAGTGATAATTTAAAGGTTGTTGAAAAAATTATCATTTAAATGTACATTTATATTGAAATAATAAAATAAGCACTAAACTTTCAAGGAGTATATTCAACGACATCATCTCACCCTTTTTAATCTACATCATCAACATTTATTTATCATATTCAATGACATCATCTCTCCCCTTTTTTAATCTACATAATCAACATAACCATGCATGCTTTCATCACTGGAAATTTGTATTTGAATGGATCCTTGACCAGGGACAGACCGCTGACCATAAAAACCCCAAAAAAGCTCCTACTCTGAAATCACCTTGCAAGGCATTCGTAACAACACGGCCATTTTCTAAGGGAAGTTATTTATAATTTATTGTTCACGGAATTGACCGAGTATTTACAATTGCTCGAAAGGGGATTAAAAAGAAAATGTAGTAAGGTTTTAATGGTCAAGGGATTATTATTAATATCTTTTTGGTATAATTAGCAAACCCACCTCCATAAAAACTAACCTTTAGGCAGTTCCTACATATATATTTTTATGGTACTTCCCTGACCTAAATTTAGGGGGTGGTTGGGGTGAAACTTTCAGGCATTGTAATTATTTGCCTTTCAATTATTTCACACTTCTTTCAAAAACGATTTCTCTTTATTTTATTACAATTGAAAACATTATTGAATTGTGGAAAATCTCCAAATTCTAAATAGAATAAACGTTTTTTACCCCCCCCCCCCAACGATGCTACTTGCCTTTTTGAAAATGATTTAACGATGCTAAAATGAAATTAAGTATACCAATTCACAACATTATATCAATAATTGTATTAATACTATTAACAGTGAAAGAGATAAAATTTTTGTACATTGGGGAAACAGGAGAGGGGGGGGGGGTCTTCTTCGAAAGTTAGCCCGGAACATTGGGCTTTGAACAAAGACACGTTACTTTGCTGCTTGCAGTTGAACAATTTGATAAAGGTATATATTGTGTAGTAAAATGTAAAAAGAAAAACGTGTTTTTTTAACCTAATATTTAAAAAAAATAAGGAATGTAATTTGTTCTGCACTAAAATTTGAAAATACCAATAAAAATGCCTAGATTACATATAAATCTAGGATTGATGCAACACAATCAATTCAGACATTAAATTCAACTTTCAGAGCATAGCAAAATAGATAACATACGTATTTTATTTTTATATGTGCCACCTATTCACTAGTTGGTACGTTACTTGTTTCATGCAATATTTTATTGACCAAGTCAAGGGTCCCCGATGACATTCTAAATTACAGATGTACAATTTAAACATAATTTGAATATTAAAGTTCATGCACAGTTCAATTATGTAAATAAGATAATCAGTTAAATTCGTATTCAGTGTCTATGGGAACAAGGCAATGTGTTTACATGTAGATGGGGTGAAATGGGCCTCAACCCCTGAAAATCCAAACAATATACATGCTAACATCGGTACATGTATCATTAATGAAAATAATTTTTCTCAGCATGTTTTTGCAAGTAAAAGTTTGCTTTTTGTATTTTACGTAGATAGATCTCGTTATGCATAATTTGCACAGTCGGTAATCCTCGGCTTTCTCCGCTATACTCCATTCAAACAGGTATACATCCGAGGAGCTCCGAGTAATATGTGTACGCCATACCCCCCCCCCCAAAAAAAATTAATATATAAAAAGTTACAGATAAATGATGATTATAGGATATTATTCACAAAACATAGTTAAAATTATAATAAATCCTAACTTTTCCTTTTTTGTACACTGAAGCCAGGATTCGATAGGGTGGGTAATTCTTTAAAGAAAAAATGTCAAAATTTCTTTTATTCCTGATGTAAACAAAAAAAATCGTATGCAATAAACAGACAGTTATTGAAAGCAACTGATACTCTGCAAATATTATCTATAATTGAGAAAGAATTAATACGGAACTATCGAGGTTTGAAAAAAATCTAGAAAACTTTACGCCTTAGTTTACGGATGTGATGTGAATTTCCATACAATGATCCGGTACTTCATTCATTCATTGATCAAATATATGAGCAAGGGTTTTTTAGAAGGATATGTTGAGTGGGGATATGGTGTATGTACCAGTGTTTTCAATGTGGTTATGGACGAAGTAAAAAAGAAATTAATGGTAAATTGAATACGTAAAAACAAAAATGAACAAGCAGAATCGAAACGAAAAAAATAACTTTAAAAAATTAAGAGAGAATAAAGAAATTAAAAAAAAATCGGAATTAATCCTTGAAAAGCTTTCCTTTCCCTAGTAATAAAAACGTAGCACATCCTAAAAAGGGGGGGAGGGGATAATCAAACTATTTAATTACAATATTTCATACGTATGTAAGATTATCTATTCAGTATATGCTTATATTTATAGCCCGGAACTACTTTTTTTGCCTGATATAAAATTAGTAATCAGAAAATAAAACTAATGACCTACATACGTCTGACTCAATAATGACCTATTTCCCTTTTAATTTTCGACTTTAACAACATCAGGTTACTACGGAAGCCCGTTGGTGCCACGTATGAAAAATATTTTATCTGGCGGCCGCCACATATATATCTGGCGGCCGCTACTTATTATTTGGCGGCCGCCACATATATATCTGGCGGCCGCCATTTATTATTTGGCGGCCGCCACATAATTTATATGGCGGCCGCCACATAAATTATTTTGCAAAAGGTGAGTGTTATTGGGTAAAGAAGATAGAAGTTGACACAACCGCTGCTTATTGATAAAAAAGTAAATGATAAAAAACGAATTCTGAAATATTGGAACACCATTCTTGGAAATTCAAAATGCAAAACTTCATTTAATTCTCAACCAATCATAGCTTACAGCAAACACCATGATTTAGGTCCGTGACACCTGATAAGGCTTCTTAATAATCGAAACACTCTACAAATACTTGCATAATTCAAAACAAATAATAATCTGCTCGATGCAAAAACATATCTATTAGAAGTGTGGATTGGAGTCGTTGGTTCATAATAAATCTCTTACAAGTTTGGTTGATTGATGTTGCTATTATAATTTTTCGATGTATCCACCTCTTAAACCACATATTAAAACATGCACGCGACCATGGAAGCCAGGTGTTATCTGGCGGCCGCCAAAAATTATGTAGCGGCCGCCAGATATATAAGTGGCGGCCGCCAGATAAATATTTGGCGGCCGCCAAATTATAAGTGGCGGCCGCCAGATATAATATAGCGGCCGCCAGAAAAATATGTGGCGGCCGATAGATATTATATAGCGGCCGCCAGAAAAACTATTTGGCGGCCGCCATATAAATTATGTGGCGGCCGCCATATATTAAGTGGCGGCTGCCAGATATATAAGTGGCGGCCGCCAAATAATAAGTGGCGACCGCCACATAATTTTGTGGCGGCCGCCAGATATACAAGTGGCGGCCGCCAAATAATAAGTGGCGGCCGCCAGATAAAATATTTTTCGTACGTGGCACAAATGGGCTTCCGTAGGTTACCATGTTTAGTTTTGATTTATTGTATTTAATTCAGACAATGAAAAGAAGACCACAAATTAGTTTTGAAAATGACCAGTGTTTATTATCTTTTCATTTTATTGCGTCATGCAGAGTGTTGCGACAAAGGTGACGTGTAAACTGTTAATGAGATAATACGGAAGTTTGCATGGCTTTCGCCGCTTCATTAATTATAACATAGTTACAGACAAGGCTTCTTATTCTCTGCATTCATATTTTTTTCCTAATATGAATTGACAAAGTGCTATTCAACTATGGTAGAATCAGAGAACCGATTCGAATATTTTATATCTGATAGCAAACTTTGGTCACAAAGTCGCCAATTCTCAGGTCTTTCTGTTTAACGGAAAAACAATCTGGAATGTGTTACATGCCCCCCCCCCCCCCCGAATAAAAAAAAAACACTTAAAAACCCTAAAATAAATGCTGCAAAGGGACCACTTGCTTATCTGTAAAGACTGGAGGTCAGCCGGAAAAGCCAAAGAAACGATTGTTTTTAGATCTTAAAGCCATATATGGCGTAACTGATCAAAAAATATATTTTTGAAAAATACAAAATTAAGTAAAGAAATATAGTTAATACATTTAAATTAAAGGTTTCATACAATTCTGAACACGGAGAACAGCTCGTATCATCTAATAACACGATTTTACCTTCTCTGTAATGTGTTATTTAAATCTTTTGTATTTTCTTCCGAGTCGGAGAAAATGCCGAGAATCCAAATTAAATTGTGATATCTTTATCACGCAGTTGACTTAGATTTTGTATTTTAGGGAAAAGTTCTATCTTTATATAAAGTAATGATACTAATAATAAGTACTTATAATTTTATTATTATACCCCCCGCTTGAAAAGCGGGAGGGTATATAGTAATCGGTAATTCCGTCCGTCTGTACGTCTGTCCGTCCGTCCGTCCGTCTGTCCGTCTGTCCTTCCGTCTGTCCGTCCGTCCGTCTGTTACGCTTTGGGGTACCCATCTCTTATCCGCAACTCCTCTCATACCACTGAATGAAATTTGATGAAACTTTCACAGAATCTTTATTACATATTGCCATTGTGCACCTCCTATTTTACTTTTTGATCCGACACATATTTTTGGTTTCCCGGCCACAGGAAAACATGGACTTTTTCACCAGTTATAACCATATGGGAGGCGGGGGGTATCATTTAGTGAGCTCATCGCTCACAGTACCTCTAGTTCTAATAATTTTCATTACACAAACGCCATATATGGCTTTAATGATCATGAGGTAGACACGTACATTGAGTTGTTGATGAAATTTTTGACAGCTTATGAATAAAACCATTCATAAACAATCAAATATTTAATATTAGTTTTATATTATTTTGGAAAAAAAAATACCTGTAAACTTATAACTTGACGACATAGAACTTTTTTTCAAGACATTTAGGCGTGTCTTTTAAAAAAAAATGTATTATATACAAACATATTTCTGTTTTTCTTAATCGTATAATTGTTTTCAGTGGCAAAAGCACAGACGAGACGTCACATCTTTTGAAGCGCTATTGTGACGTAATTACGTTTATGTCACGAAGGTCCCTTTTCGCTTGACGCGACTCATAAATAAATTTCTCTTTTACTTTTTGGGACAAATCTTTTTCTTTACATTTATGAATACAGTCTGTATACATTTTATGGCCTTTACATTTAATACAGAAGAGGAAATAAAAGATAAATTACAAACTAAGGCTTAATAAAATACTGGCCTTGTGATACTGAGTTCATTATTAAACAATGTATGTCTTTCCCATAATATTTAAATTATTTTAGCATGGAAATATTGCTGCATTAGTGATATAGCAGAATGCTTTTTGTTCTTTGAAAATGTCCATATATTGCAAATACTTACATTTAGAGTAAAATATGCTTACAGCAAAGTCCCAGGAAAACCAATTTTCAATTGTTATAAAAGTATTAAGTTATTGTGTCAACTGATACCATGTTTTACACTCTTTAGTTTAATAAAGGATATGGAGATAATGAACATAATTCAATATCAAAGTCCATTAAAACAATACAAAACATGAGTAGAGCAAACAAGGGCATCTAAAACATCAGAGGTGGGATCAGGTGCTATGGAGGAGTATATAATATAATGTATGGGTTTTGCATTATCCTTTCAAGAGAAGGTTATGCTCCACCATGACGTATACATTTTGTTTCCATGTATACAGTTATAAAACAAATCACAAGATGTGATCAGCAAAATAAAAACCAAAATCGTGTCTAATCAATTAATTTTGAAAAAGAAGCACGAAGGCATAATCTTAAATTTCTTGGTACTCTGTTTATTTGCTTTTGGATTGGACTGTTTTTAATATTATTTTATGACAAGTACAAGTTGCTTATAGAGGAAATCCCTTTTACAGCACGAGTTTTACCATGCCCTTATCCCTTTTCCAGCACGAGTTTTACCATGCCCTTATCTCTTTCCAGGACGAGTTTTACCATGCCCTTATCCCTTTTCCAGCACGAGTTTTACCATGTCCTTATCCCTTTTCCAGCACGAGTTTTACCATGCCTTTATCCCTTTTACAGCACGAGTTTTACCATGCCCTTATCCCTTTTCCAGCACATGTTTTACCATGCCCTTATCCCTTTTCGAGGACGAGTTTTACCATGCCCTTATCCCTTTTTGAGGATGAGTTTTACCTTGCCCTTATCCCTTTTCCAGCACCAGTTTTACCATACCCTTATCCCTTTTCGAGGACGAGTTTTACCATGCCCTTATCCCTTCTAGAGGATGAGTTTTACCATGCCTTTATCCCTTTTACAGTACGAGTTTTACCATGCCCTTATCCCATTTACAGCACGAGTTTTACCATGCCCTTATCCCTTTTCCAGGACTAGTTTTACCATGCCCTTATCCATTTTACACCACGAGTTTTACCATGCCCTTACCCTTTTCCAGCACGTTTTACCATGCCCTTATCCCTTTTCCAGGACGAGTTTTACCATGCCCTTATCCCTTTTCCAGCACGAGTTTTACCATGCCCTTATCCCTTTTCCAGCACGAGTTTTACCATGCCTTTATCCCTTTTACAGCACGAGTTTTACTATGCCCTTATCCCTTTTCCAGCACGAGTTTTACCATGACCTTATCCCTTTTCCAGCACGAGTTTTACCATGCCTTTATCCCTTTTACAGCACGAGTTTTACCATGCCCTTATCCCTTTTCCAGCACATGTTTTACCATGCCCTTATCCCTTTTCGAGGACGAGTTTTATCATGCCCTTATCCCTTCTAGAGGATGAGTTTTACCATGCCTTTATCCCTTTTGCAGTACGAGTTTTACCATGCCCTTATCCCATTTACAGCACGAGTTTTACCATGCCCTTATCCCTTTTCCAGGACTAGTTTTACCATGCCCTTATCCCTTTTACACCACGAGTTTTACCATGCCCTTACCCTTTTCCAGCACATTTTACCATGCCCTTATCCCTTTTCCAGGACGAGTTTTACCATGCCCTTATCCCTTTTCCAGGACGAGTTTTACCATGCCCTTATCCCTTTTCCAGCACGAGTTTTACCATGCCCTTATCTCTTTCCAGGACGAGTTTTACCATGCCCTTATCCCTTTTCCAGCACGAGTTTTACCATGTCCTTATCCCTTTTCCAGCACGAGTTTTACCATGCCTTTATCCCTTTTACAGCACGAGTTTTACCATGCCCTTATCCCTTTTCCAGCACATGTTTTACCATGCCCTTATCCCTTTTCGAGGACGAGTTTTACCATGCCCTTATCCCTTTTTGAGGATGAGTTTTACCATGCCCTTATCCCTTTTTGAGGACGAGTTTTAACTTGCCCTTATCCCTTTTCCAGCACCAGTTTTACCATACCCTTATCCCTTTTCGAGGACGAGTTTTACCATGCCCTTATCCCTTTTCCAGGACTAGTTTTACCATGCCCTTATCCCTTTTACACCACGAGTTTAACCATGCCCTTACCCTTTTCCAGCACCTTTTACCATGCCCTTATCCCTTTTCCAGGACGAGTTTTACCATGCCCTTATCCCTTTTCCAGCACGAGTTTTACCATGCCCTTATCCCTTTTCCAGCACGAGTTTTACCATGCCTTTATCCCTTTTACAGCACGAGTTTTACTATGCCCTTACCCCTTTTCCAGCACATGTTTTACCATGATCTTATGCCTTTTCGAGGACGAGTTTTACCATGCCCTTATCCCTTTTTGAGGATGAGTTGTACCATGCCCTTATCCCTTTTTGAGGATGAGTTTTACCATGCCCTTATCCGTTTTCCAGCACGAGTTTTACCATGCCCTTATCCCTTTTCGAGGATGAGTTTTACCATGCCCTTATCCCTTTTCCAGGACGAGTTTTACCATGTCCCTATCCCTTTTACAGCACAAGTTTTACCATGCCCCTATCCCTTTTACAGAACGAGTTTTACCTTGCCTTTATCCCTTTTACAGCATGAGTTTTACCATTCCCTTATCCCTTTTACAGCACGAGTTTTACCATGCCCTGACGGAAGATGATGTTCCAGATGAAGCAGAGAACATGAAGCCAAAAGATTTGACAGTGGAACTTTTCAGGTTGGCTGAGGGGCATATAGTGTATTGGGGCTCAAATACCATCATATATATTTATCAAAGACAAATTCTAATATTCTGAAATGACTGACTTGATGTAAAGGTTGAAAATCTTCATCACATAAATGTATCAGGAATTCAGAATGTTTCATTTTTTCGACTTTTCTTGATTACCTCTGGAGGTAGACAAATGACAATTAAGTCTCCATATGAAAGACATGCACACATCTAGAAATAAATTATGTCTTTGAAGTAGGTTTTCCTGTTACCCCCATCTCTAAGTTTTACTTTTTTTCTTTATTAAAAATGTTTTCTTCTTGTTTGAATGGAATATTATTTACTTCAAGAACTTTATAAGATAGGGGCGTTGAAATAAAAATAAAGCCACTTGCTCCATCATATAAATTTACACATTGTTTTATCAAAGTATGACAACATCTTGTTTCCATAGATTGTCTGATGCCTCGGGAAATCTGACATTTAAAGTAGAGAAGAGTGGGTCAGTATCCACGTCTGATCTGGACAGCAAGGTGAGTCTAAGTAGAGAAGAGTGGGTCAGTATCCACGTCTGATTTGGACAGCAAGGTGAGTCTATGTAGAGAAGAGTGGGCCAGTATCCACGTCTGATTTGGACAGCAAAGTGAGTCTATGTAGAGAAGAGTGGGTCAGTATCCACGTCTGATTTGGACAGCAAGGTGAGTCTATGTAGAGAAGAGTGGGTCAGTATCCACGTCTGATCTGGACAGCAAGGTGAGTCTATGTAGAGAAGAGTGGGTCAGTATCCACGTCTGATTTGGACAGCAAGGTGAGTCTATGTAGAGAAGAGTGGGTCAGTATCCACGTCTGATTTGGACAGCAAGGTGAGTCTATGTAGAGAAGAGTGGGTCAGTATCCACCTCTGATCTGGACAGCAAGGTGAGTCTATGTAGAGAA